TAATGCATATTTAACCCAAAAAATGTCAAGTTCTATGAAGCTCGAACAGCAAGCCATGTAGCATCTTTTACTTCAACAACCTCGCCCATTTCTCTGCTTTTCATGTCGCACTGGTCCACGAGTAACATCCATAAATGTGGTTAAAGGTTTTTACCTGACAAAACACATTGTTTGCTCAAGCCAGCTTAAAACAAATATTATACATTCTTAGTCTCTCTATGGTGGGCAGCAGGGAGTCAATGAAATTCAAAATACTAGCGTGTGATGGGCTTGGAAGAGGATTCCTGTGATGTGTTTTCTGTTGTCACCCAAATATGAAATTTCAACAATTCAATGCATGGTTTACATAATCACAAAATGATTATATAATGCTAACATTTGGCCTCATTATGGGACTGCAGCGCCTTTTCTCCTGGATGAGCTACTCTTCCCTCTGCCGCTCTGGTGCTGAGGGTGTACAGTGCAGCATCAACCCCCACTCAACCCATCCCCCACTGTAACTACTGTACACATAGGATCTCTGAGGGAGTGACCACAAGCTCACAGAGCAGGAGCTACCCTGTGCTTAGAAATTTATTTCTGGCCAAAATAAACATCACTGAATCTGTGATGTTTTGGCTACAGCCTTTAGAGGTACTAGAGGGTTTGATCGTTGATAAATGATTTTATCTTTTAAGATGGGATCATGCTTTAAAATCTATGCTCAGATGGTGAGTGTAATTTTGTATGATGGGAGTCACTAGTATCCCTTAGCAATGCTCTATGTATGTAAGAGGGTGCTGGGGGCTGAAGACTGAGGATGAGTGCAGAGATGACAAAGTTGCACAAATTAGCCGAGCTACAGTACATGCCTGAATTCATCCTCATCACATGGAGACCAAGACTCACTGCCAAACCATCTAAAAAGCATTTACTGTTGCCTACTACACTACAACAAAAAGGAATTTGCTACAGGTCAACAGTCAAGCTTAGACATTACATGGGCTTGAGAGAAGTAGTGCTTTGAAATGTGATTTGGCTACTACACACTGTGCTCAAGCATACAGTAGTTGGATGAGCAGGCAGTGACGTAGCAGCTTTGAGCAACATCTACAGTGGTGGAAAAAACACTCCATGAATACTTAATGTGATATGATGCAAACTGACAGTCAAATGGTGTAATGCTGCACAAAGCATAACTTTGAATTACAAATATGAGACCACCATGGTTTAAGACAGATGTGCAAAAAAGGTGCATACAAAACACATACACAAACACACAAAGAATGCATTTGATATGAAACAGCTGTTGGTCATGTTTTCGCAAAATGTCAACAATATTCAACCAGCTATTTTTGCTAATGAGGAAAATATAGGGCAAAAGCATATCACAGTGATGGAGCAGAAACTGGGCCACGCTAAAGTTTAAATTATGAACCACACAGTCTGCCTAGTGTCAATACTTGCTTGTTATTTGTTTGAGCAAACCCTCAGTCCCCCTCATCCATATGTCAAATGCAAGTATGAATAGCTGACATTCACAGCATTTCAAATGTCAGCTGGTGCCAAATTTTCCCAAAACCCAGACAGAACACACATTTCAGCCACACAGTTTGCATCTGGAGGCTGATGGAGCATGAACACATGTATAGGCAAACATACAGACAATTGTTGCTGCTGTTCTATGGGACAATTGCCCTTGTCTCTGCCAAGCAGTTTTACTGCTAAATACACAAAGACAAAATGTCCATTTCAGCGTCAGCAGGGTGGTGGTGGCGTACAGCCCTCTCCACCAAAAAGCCAAACAGTAGTACGTCCTTGTTGTCATGGACAGAATGCCATTCTGCAGGCAGCAGACTAATGCTGTTGTCATGTACTCTGCAGCATTACAATTATAACCCAAACACAAGGGACATTTGTAAATCATAAAGGGGAAACTGACTAAGTGAACAGTCCTGGGTTGGGAGCTATAGTGACGAGTCAGAAAGCCATCATTCTCTCCTTTTTTTTCCCCCAATCACACAGCCCACCTAGTATCGTATCTTGTAAGATAGAATACGTTTTCCCCACACATATTGTTAACTAACATCATTATTTAAACTGACTTTTAAATGACCTCGCTGAGGTTCTATGTAAAACAGGTGGTATCAAGTGCCCACGCTCACCTGTTAAACCCACACTTTTACAACAAAGAATGTGATGTTGATTCAAAGAATCGAGCATAATGCTGGACTCAGCTTACTCTGTTTGAACTGTTCTGACTAACAGTAATAGTAGGGTGATAATCAAACCTGGTCAGTGTAAAATGTTTTTGTAATTATTAAGTCAGCATTTAACCTGGCAAAAAAAAAGAAAGAAAAGAGCTGAAATTTTGAAACCACCACAAAATGTTTAAATTATAGAAAACTAAAAATGCATTACTGTGACATTTAATTTTGCTGCTTTCAGTGACATAACGCCTTTAACTCTTGTCGAGAGAGCTGTACATACACATAGCCCATGCCCTCCACATACTGTACATCACACATTCAATAAGACTGTACATGGCAGCCTCTATCACTGAGATTGATTTAATGTGACATTTTGAGATCAGCAGCGTCACAAGCAATATTCTGGCTTTAAAAGGGTGTTTTAGTGTCCTGCATTTTAAATTCTGTTTCAAGTCAAGTTTTACATTCTGCCAAAAAAGAAAAAGAGGAAGATACACGTTCATCAGTTGACATTTTAGTGATTGTCATTTCATATCATGCCAAACACAGGGAATCCGATATAATGTGGAACTAGTCCATTAATGAAGCAAGATGCATTTCTAAATGAGCCAATACAGGAAACACTTTCCGTTCCTGATGAGATTGATAAAAATGAAAATAACCAAAATATAAAATACGATTAAACTAATAAATATTTAACATTAAAAACCGACGTCAAGTAATGTTAATAAAGTGTTTTCATAATTCTCAGCTCCTCATTTGCATGATCAATCTGTTCCAAGTGTCCACATCTGCTGTTGCTATGTTACCAAATCTCAAGGAGGAGGTTGACATGGCATGGGTTTAAAAATGGCCTCTCAATCTTCTTCAAGCCCTTCCATCATACAGTGTAGAACTACTAATGTAAATGTAAGCCATTTATAGGTATGTGCAACAGGATTAAACTTATCACAGAGAACTCCATATTGCCAATGGAGGGATATGTTATAATAAGTGTAACAGAAACCTGGTACAGTTGAAAAGCAGCAAATTGTTTTCATCCACTTTACTTAAAGCAGAGTAGTAGCAAGTGAAACCAATGGTGCAGGTTGTGTCTACTAGACATCGATGAGGAGTAACACTATATTATGTTGTTCAGTAGCAGGATATTATTCACACATATACTGCACCACAGACCAGTGAGGATAAACTTGAGTTTGGTTAAAATTAATTTGTATATTTTATGTACTTAATTTTCTCACCAGAGCTCTTAAGAGTCTACAACCATGTTATCAGCTTTGTAAAGTTGCACTTGTACAGTTGCACTTGTACATAGTGGAGCATTAAACCTGCTTAACATGAGCATGCAAAGCAGGTCTTATGGTTGCTGTGGTTACTATCTTAGATTAGCATGTTCGGGCTGCTGCACTCTAGAGGATTTTCAAGTCTTGGCCAATTTTTAAAACTTAAAATCTTCATAACAGACACACTGGACAATTTGGACAGAACGTCAGACCACACACTTGCCATTTGTAGTAAACAATTTCACAGTGGCGATTCAAGAGACTTGAAATCTCACAGAAACTTATAATATCTTCCCCTGTTCTTCAGTTTTCTTATGGCAGTTGACAAACAACTTTAAGGTGCATTACCGCCACCTTATGAACTGGAGTGTGGAACGCTCACATGATTTAACGTGACTTGAGAAGAAAGAAAAAATGTGGTGCAGGACTGCCAGCGTGTGTTCTGTTTTGAAGCCTGAAAAAAAAAAACTATGGATGTAGACATGGCTGGAAGGCGTAAACATTTTGCAGAGCGAGCTGGAGGTGAATTGGAAATGTATTTTTGTTTTTAGCTACAGCTGTACAACTAGACAACATCCAGTTGGTGACGCATCCTGTCGTCCGCTCTCTTACAATTAAAGGTTTCTGTCGAGATCGATGAGGCTCCGACTCAATCGGTAGCCTTAAGATTAGATGGGCCTAAAATCGTTTTTGATTATCCTCTAGCATGTAGCAGCCCTTAGCTTGCATTAAATACAAAGTCCAGCTAAGAGTGACTGCGTGTTTCCTAGTTGGAAAACAAAGCGAAGTTAAACATCATAGGACAACTTCAAGTGTTACCCTCATGCTCATGGTGTCAGAGAAGTCAGAAAAGTCTGAGGATCTACCAAGGTCAGAGTGATACATCATCTTGGAACCATGAATGTATGTACCGAATTATGTTCAAATCTATCAGGCAGATGCTGATATACTTCACATGTTAACTGAACATTTCACCAATGAATTAATGCTAAATTAAGATATTTCTATCTGCAGCAACTGACAGTAATTAGCCTGCATGGCTAAAACATGTTGCAGCCCAGAGCCTTGACAGTGAGCAAATGTAACTGTTGTGCTCCTGATGATATCTCTGTATACAACCACACAGCTTAGCTTCACCCTGCAGATCCACACACACATGCAATGAGCTTTAAAGCATTACCTGTCCTTTTAATCATTTGTTTGAGAGGCCACACACACACACACACACGGAAGTTTATAGGCAGTCGTCGGAAATGGAAACTCCCCCATCAGTGGGGTCTCAGCCACTTCCTCGATGCAGCAATGCGCGCCCACAGTAGGTGATGTGAGAAAACAAGTCATCTCGATGTAAAGTGAAAACACGGACATATGTCGCCCTCCCCCCATTCAAAATACAGTATCATCACACGGGGGCGCGCATTTCTGCTGAATCCTTCGGCCGACGCAGCGCCCGGTGACACTCCCTTTAAAACAAGTACGCTGCCCTTTAAACTAACTAACGCCAGCACATCGCTTAAGTCTGCAGTTGGTATTCACAAACAACACAAACAGTGAGCAAACACGAGAAGTAGCGTAACACTGACACAAACTACAGCAGCGGACTGAGTCGAGCTGCCGAGGGAAGGAAACAGCGGAGGACAAAAAAGTCGCTCGGAGATGAACCAAGTGAGTCCGGTAATCGCTGGTTATTTACGCCGATGACGGCCCCGCAAAGGCGGGATTCAAACCGCAAAATAGCGTAGTGTGTCGCAGGCTTTGTCCTTACCTACACAGTGAATGAGTTTGTGTCGCCACGAGTCAAGTTCCTGCCGAAAGCCGCGCCTCTCTACCGTGCATTGCTGCCTTTTGCACTGACTCGCCATTTTCTATCGTTCTTGTCTGGCGGGCACCAGCACGGTAAGAGGAAGAGCTCGGCCTCGTGAACGCGCGCGCCACAGTGGTCGGGGAGGAAGCGGCTCCAGGGGAGGGGGAGGGGGGAGGGGTGGGGCTGCCTCCAGGTTTCATTCACACACTGTGACCACCACCACACACACAATACAGTAAAATGAACAAACAAATAAATGATGTGTTGTGTTTGAACATAGACAACAATGGTGTTTGCCTTCAGTGGGACACAATGTGGGGGGTTGGGGTTAAACCTTTTGTAGTTTATATCCAATCTAACGTGGCTGATGTATTTGTTTTCACCTCAAAGGTCAGTAACTGGGTTTCACCCAATCAGCAACCAGTGAACTGCCCCAAGACCAAGACCTTGAGTCTACATTAAACAAGAATTTGAAATCAATTAAAATGCCTCAGTATACCCAGTCCCCTTATTAAACAACATTTATATTCACAGATTTTTATTTGAATCTGCACCATATTCCACACACTCGTAAATATCAGTCCAAGATCAATGACTTATTATCACAGAAATCAATACAAATGTTGAAGAACACCCTATATAACTATTTTAAAGAGATCTTCACCAAGATTTAAAGGGGGCTTCCTTGACTCGAACCACATCCCTCCATCAAGTTTCATGGAAATTGGTGCAGTGGTTTTTGTGTTATCCAACGAACTAACTCACAAACACTGTTGTAATCATAACCTCCATTGGCTGCTAACAAGTTAAGTGGGGAACATGGTAAATTCTAATGATACATATATGGAGCAGACAAGTGTTTCACATGAAGTCATGAAATTGAATTTTGGGAAGAAGAACAATTTAAAGGGGCCTGGTTAGCCCGACACATAAAATAAATACTATCTGGCATTTGATGCTATAAGACATTATGTCTGACTGAAGCTAATATGTTACCAACCCCCCCAAAAAATCAAATCAAATATTGTATCACATATATGTATATATATATTACATATCAGATAGATAATAACTTTTAATTATAGTGCACAGTCTATGCTTAACACATTACACATCTAATATAGTTTCCTATAGACTACAGACCAATTTCAGAAGTTTCAGAGTCTACCCCCTATTTCAGATATGTCTGTCTATCTCAGTAAACTGTAGCAGACCAATCAGAGAAAGTTTTAATGAGAGACAACAGCATGTCAAGAAGCGGGCTGCAATGATGCTGTTGTAATGCTGCCTTCAAGTGTCGTCGGAGTTACTGCAATCCTGGGCTGCAGCGTGCAAAACAAAATGACACACGTCTAGTAGGGGGTGGACAGTTTTCTACAAAGATTGCTAAACTGAGTCTTTACGGGTCAGAGACAGAGAGCACGTGAAGGAAGTCCCACAATGAGACGTTTTTCATTTTATTGTTTTGGAAGATGTCAGAGTTTACATTGGGGTTGCTGCAAAACTTATTCTAAAATAAAACAGCCATATAATTTATTTTCATCTTTGGCCAAGATATCGCAAAATAAGCTTTTTTGTGAATATGCTTTAATACTCAGAATGTGATATTCCGGAGCGTACGGGCAGCACCTGAACGCGACATACGTCTCCCAGCCGGTGTTTTGATATTTCTACGCCCTCCGGTGCTGTGCGGTGCTTTCCATGCTTCAGAGACGACTAACGTAGCGTGCAGGTAAACGATGGCATTTGTAGATGTTGTCGCCTTTTCACTCGTTGTTATGTTGCCAACGGACTCAGTCTATTCACACTGCAGGCGTGTCATTATAAAAGATAGAGTCTATTTTACAACATGCATGTAAAAAGCTGCACAGCATCCAAACACGTTGGCAGCACAAGTTGGATTTTTACAATAACGTGTCAGTGTTGGTGTGAGCTGCTGAATTATTATCGATTAATGGCGACTGTGTGAGTAAAACTACACCTAACTGCCATTCTGCAAGACACTGTCATTTGTTTCAAAGCAAACAATCATTTTAAAATGGTCACCAGCTTTTTGTTTGTGTCTGCAGTCAGTTTGTTCAGTCTGTTCGCTTTACAGATGGTTTATGCTTCTACACAAGCATCATCACCACTAATATAGGTTAGATATTGTTATTTATCCATTGATCAATCCCCAATTTATTGTTCTATTGCAGCAGCTTTTCACCTACACAACTTTGAAAATAATTTCCACCCTATTTAAACATCTAAAGACAGGAAACCCTCCTTCTGCTACATGTCCTGAAAGATAATCCTGGCACTCATTTATTCATGTTGTCTGGTGCTGTAGCTAAAGAAATCAAATGTTTCCAACATGAGGCTGAATGGTGGTGAGCCTATAATGTGTGTGTTTGTGTTTGTTGAAAACAGAGATACCATGACTCTGACCAGGGGATCTTTCACCTATGCCAGTGGGGAGGAGTACCACGGCGAGTGGAAAGAAGGCAAGGCATTCGTGCAGTCAGTTTTAAAGTTTGTGTGCAATCGTCACCGGCTTAACTGCAAAGATGAGACAGACTTTCACTTGCGCCTACAGCATAGTACATCTAGTCCTCATAACACTGTTCTCTTATCAGTCGAGAAAGAAGGAACGGTGAGACACTGAGACGGGACAAATGCATTTAGTACTTGTCAAAGTTTGATCTAAACTGTTTAAGTTGCAAAACATAGAATACGTAGCATTTCTTTTGAATTCCTGGGTCCGTCCAAATATGCTCATGGCAGAGGTTTGTTAGTTTGGGCTTTATGCTCATATAATCATCATTCCAGGGTAAGAAAATCTGTTTACTGTTATAGGTTCGGTGGTATTTATCCACACCTAGGGTCATTTATATTTAATACAATTAGTACAGGATATCGATGGCAGAAAATACAGTTTATTATGTTTACAGGAGAAAGTATCCTGTCAAAATGTCCCCATTTTTAAGATGCCTGCACTGCTTTAACTCTCTCTCTCTCTCTCTCTCTCTCTCTCTCACACACACACACACACACATGCTTACCGTGATGCTAGTGACATGCCAGCCCAAGCTATTTAGTCAAATCCCAATTAGCCAACATTGGCAACTCATGACGAACAGAGCCAGATTTACCAGCTCTGGCTTTGTAAAATCTTCTGGATTAGACTTTGGAACCGTTTGGGAAATCTCAGAGGGTTCTCTGTCAGCTGCTGTAAAAAAACAAAAGCAATGGAAACACGAGGGGAAAGACTCATCCAAGAGTTTTCATTTTAGCATCAAGTTTCAGCTGCTTTTGTGTCAATACAAACACGGTGGTTCTCCTTAACCTCTCAAAGACAATTTTGCATATTTTTCCATTGTGGCAGTCGCAGGTGTGACGTACTTGTCATGAAACTTGTAGGTGCATCCTCTGACATGATTTTAAGCCTCAGCAGTGGATCATAGGCTACTAGGAGGGTACATTCCTTGACTGTTTTCACAGTCTGGATCCTAACGTAGAAATCCCTGCTAAAAAATCTGCTGGATTAGACTGCTGTAATTCCTACCGCACAGGAGGCAGATGGGACTCCTAATTCAGTAGTAAACCTTTAGCTGACAGAGGGTGGGGGTGAGGGTGGTGGTGGTGGGGGAGTACTTAAATCCGAGCACGTACTGACTCATGTGACATATCTAGTGGTTCTACAAAACCAAGGGAATATTAAACCTTGAGCCGCATTGCAAGTTCAAATGTCAGTTAGACGCGTGTTTCTACGCGCTATTACTAAAGAGTAATCTATAAGAAGCTAAGTGGTTAGATGAGGCATGATGGCACCCACATAGATAAAATGTGAGATAAAATGGCATCACAATCTTCTCTCAAGGCCCTTTGACTTGACAGGATTTCTGAGTTTCTGTGAAGTGTTTGTAGTTTGAGCCATGAGTGACTGATGGTGTGCAACCTTCCAGGTCGGAGGCATGGCGTTGGTCAGCTCAAGTTTCAGGATGGAACTTGCTACACCGGTCAGTTTGAGAATGGACTCTTCCATGGCTCTGGTGTGCTGCTCTTCACAGATGGATCCAGGTGTGTGAGCAAGCGTGAGACAGCATTGTCCTCTGTCAAAAGTTACAAATGACACCCCCCCCGGTCTTTTCTCACCACCACATCAGGTACGAAGGAGAATTCGCTCACGGAAAGTTTCAAGGTGCAGGAGTCTTTAGTCGATACGATGGCATGAAGTTTGAGGGAGAATTCAAAGACGGACGGGTTGAGGGACGTGGTAAGTCTGTTATACCACTGGAACAATTTGTCCATCTGGATGTCAATATTATCTCTGTGCGGTTGGTCATAGTGTTCTGTGTCTGTGCCTCCAGGGCTATTGACTTTCCCAGATGGAGCTCATGGTGTCCCACGAAACGAGGGCTTGTTTCAAAACCACAAGCTACAGAAGAGAGAGAAGTGCCCAGGAGTGGTGCAGCGTGCTCAGGCCTCAGCGTCCGGTGCTCGCAGTCTGGCACTTTGACCGTCATGGACCGTGACAGAGACACCACGGTCAGGGTTACAGCACCTTTCAGGAGGGCCTCAGGGATGTGTACTAGTATACTCCCCTCCAGCTCTTCTCTCTGTGTCTTTCTCTCTTTTTTTCAGCATCACTTTATTTGTCTGCATCTTCCTAGCTTCACCCTCTCAGCAGCTCGGGAAGCACATGCAATTTGACCAAACAATGGCTTTCTGTATGACTGACTTGAAATGCACAACACCATGAAGCACACCTTTAAGTCTGCAAGTCACAGCAAATTTAGCTGTTTTTCTCTTAAACAGTGTCTTAGTGTTTCACAACAGTTAGCTTTCATACTTCAGGTGACTGAATATGGAAGACCTCTTCTTATCATGTTATTGCACATCTGGTATTTAAAGGGTTTCCTACTGCATTTAGGTGTAAAGTAAGTCTGTATGTTCAAGACTTTAGGTTCTTAGATAACATCAGATTACGTAAAGGTTTAGGTCCCCATTTAGTTTGCTTGATAATGCCCAAACAGTGTGAGGGTAACATGACACACATTTTTGCCGATGTTTTTCACACTCTTGGACATTTGGTGGTGATAAAAAACAATACGTTGCAATGCGTCCATGAAGGTTGCAAACATGGACCATTGACTGAATATAAAGGTGGACGACATGACAGCCTGATGTATGTTGAAGTGTTTATTTTTCTGAAACATCAGTAGAAGATGGCAGTGCTCGTGTACAATGGAAGGAAGTAAACAAACACGTCGTCCATCTTTGTGTACAGTAATTGCTGTGGATCTGAGCGACACAGGATTCAAAATATTCAATAAAATTGGCTATACAAATATAATAATATAATTGTTAGTAAAATGATTCCAAAAATATTGTCAGACCTCAAAGATACACACAGTGAATGTAAACATAACTTGTTTGTTTTCAAATACACGTGACCGGGCACCTTTAAAATCTCAATCCATAGTGCTGCTGCAAAAATCTACCATTCAAGAAATGCATTTATTCACTGGTGTTCTCTTTTTTTTAGAAGATCAGTAATCACATTTGCCTTAAAAACGTTTTGGTATAGTGGAATAGTTCAAGGCTGTCCGTCTGAAAATCAGATTAGGCACAGTGCCCTCTCCTTCCCCTCTCCTCCACATCATTTGCCCTACAGTGTCTGTCAGCCTAATGATTTTGAGGTCTGCCTGAAGACTGTTACTAAGCTGGTGCTGACTTCCATCTCCCATCACTCACAAGTCCTGCTGCTGCCCTCCCTCAGATAAACCTCCCACTACCAGTGGAAATCATTTGAAAGGATATTTAACTCATTTGGACAATTCTCTCCTGTTTTCCCCTGTGTAACCTGAAACCCTGGATGACTGGACATCTTCAAAGTTGATAAATAATCATGATTAAATGCATTAAACTCGGGACTTACATCTTAACTGAGGCAGCTGAATGATAAAGACTTTATAAATCAGACATATTTAAAAGTATGTGATTCTAATGTATGTGTTTTCTGTGAGGTGTATAGATATTTATTGTCATTGATTGTGTTTGTTTTGACCTTTCCACAGAATTATGTGCTCATTCTGTGATTGGTCTGGTAGAGAATGGTGTCGCAGAGTTAAGACTGTGTGGTTGAGTATTTTGAAATATTGAGAATTTGTGAACCATTATAGCCAATCATAGGTATTCTATGCCTGCAGATTAATTCAGTGTACTTGAAGCGTTTATAGGCCTTACAGATCATTTGTAGACGTGGCTTGTCTAGGCTTACAAAGCACTTCAACCAAAGACAATCAAGTGATATTATAGGTAGGGAAGCCTGGAATATGTGTTATTTCTTACAGCTGAACAACAGAGACAAATCGATGGGGACAAATCCTCCTGGGGCTTCAGTGGAAGGAGAGAAGATTAAAGAAAAGAAGATATTTGATATGAGATTGTGTTGTAAATATTCCTGAAGTCTCTAGTCTGGATTGTGTGCAGTTGCTTATTTTCTTTGTTATGTTATACAAGGGGGGGAAAATATCAATACTCTTATTATAAGCCCATACGGTTGCTTGCTTCAGTTTAATCTGAAAGGTAACAGAAAAGCAGAGCAGTGCATGCATTAGTGCTGCTATCTACAAGCACACAATACTGTCATGTTTGCTGTATGTGCAAAGTGTGTAATATGCTGCATTTCAAATCATATAGATTTTACTTTCCTCTGTGTTGGAAGCAACGCCTGCTCGAGCCTTCTTTGCCTACACACTCCTGAGTGGAACTGAACACAATGGAATACCACATCCTACTACAAACAAATGGTGCTTTAAAAGCGTGCCTGTCCAGACTTTCAACTGCCTGGAAAATATCATTGCCATGGTTACCTTTTTCTTTTTCCAGTAACAATATAATGTTGCTTTGAGTGCTCTGAGAAAACTACTGCACGGTATTCTGTCATTCTACTGGAATAGGTCTGAGTATGTATCACTTAGGTGGTAAACGCTTGACGTGTTAAATAAAGCCTTGTGTTGAAAAAGTAACACGTTTGTCTTTGGGTTGGATTCGTACATTTAGAGATGTAAACAGTTCAGTTGTAGATCATTTTCAACCATTTCCGACATTCTAACACAGATCCTGAAATGAGCAACGTCCGCAGCTGTACCGGGAAGTTTTTACCATTTAATGAATAAACAGGTTCCTCTGGTTTTTGGCTGCGTCACAGCACAAAGCAGGAGCCTCCAGTTTCCCCCCATCCCCCTTCTTATTCTCATTCTCACTCCAGCCCCCTGCAACATCACAGCACAACAGCACACGGCTATAGTTCACATGGAATCAAGAATGACATCTAACTAAAGCTGTAAAACTTGTATGAGTCCAACATATATAAGAGCAGGAGTCCTTTTCTTCCTCACTGCATTATATTGACAATTCACTATTGCATCTCAGTTGGGTTGCATTGACAAGATAAGTATGTAACCTTGTGTTGTGCGTGACACATGAAGTCCTGAACAGTGAACACAGCCTTGACTGGAACAGGAAACATTGCGTTCAGCTGATACTGTATCTGATGGGTTGTCTATGGTGAACACATTGGTATTCAACAGAAGGCTGTGACAGAACATTTTTCAAAACAGCATTTTCACATCCACATTGTGAAGTAGAATGGCAGTAGAGCGCATATAAAGGCTCTTCAGTCTCCTTAGATTAAATCAAGCTGCACCAAATCTCACACGATCGGTTCCAAATATGCCTGATAGTTTCTTTTATATCAAGATCCATGAAGTTTTTCCTTGGAAAACAGCAAAAATGTCAAAAAATAAAAGAAGAAAAAAACCCTGGACCCGCCCCCTGATCCAGATCCTCAACATCTGATAGGTTTCGTGGAAATATGTTGGTTTTATAAAACATAAACTCAATGGATAAAAATACAGAAGTAGCGCTATACTATATCATTGTATATAAATATTTATTAAATTATTATACACATTTCTGTTTAGTATTATTTGTATCTATTCTGTATTGTTTTACTCCTTCAACTTATTGTACATTTTTTAGAAATATACAGATTTTATCCTTTATATTTGTTTTACTGTTCAGGAATTTCCCAGTTTGGGATCAACCATCTCTCCATCCAACTATCCCTCTATCGATCCAGTTATCTCTCCATCCATCTATCTTGTCTCTGTGTGGTTTTTAATTTCCTCATACAGCACCTAGATGAAATTAACAGCAAAAAAACGAATGGCTGTATAATGACAAACTATACAACCACATAGTAAACAGGAGGTTTGTTTTCTCAGTGTGAATGACCAACCTCACTCAGGAACATTTGAGCCACTGATGATAGAAGGAAAATATGTCCACTGAGCTCCTGCTGAACCCCTGACTCGCAGCCATCTCCGCTATCGACAGCTGACGTCTCAAACTCAGCCCTGCTCTGAGCTCTGGCCGTGTCTGTCGCCTCTATAAAACAAGGCACCTTTTGATGTATATTCAAATTCAGCATCAACACCATCTGGTAAAGCCTGTGAAGATTCTCAATCATTCAGGTCAAGGTTCTAACAGAAAACAGGGCCTGAGGGTAACTGGACTCGGCTGTAGATACTTGAAGATGTTTCATATCTCATCAGAGCAGTTTCTTCAGCTCTGACAGACGGTTAGTCTCAGATGTTTAACCTCTGTGGCTTCACTGATGTCACATGGTTGGTTAGTGCTCCTGGCTGTTCTAACTAGTTGGGGGAGTCACCTAAGAACAAACGAAAAACAAATTCTATTTTTGCACATGAGGCCAAGTGTGAATGGTTGTTAGATCTCATTGGAAGCGATGAAAGCACAATGGTGTAGTGTGGGTGTAGGTGGTGTTGTGGTGGTGTCCTCCTCCTCTGTTGAGAGATGGTTTCTCTACTTTGAAGCAGATGGTCCTTCTCCCTTCTTTCAAACGACCATCTCCATCATCTAAAATATGTTTTGTTAGTAAGGTTGTTTCAAGTTTCAGGTTATTGTTATTCGAGTCTTGACCTGAGGAACTGGACCTCCTGTTTTCATCTATATCTGTCTGTTTTTCTAGTTAGCAGTATTTCAAACAAACAAATTGACGGATTACTACCAATCTTTGTGCAAGAATGGGGTATGGGTCAGGAAATAACCCATTCCATTTTGGTGCTGAGCCAGGAATGTTTCTCCACTTTGTTTAACATTCAATGTTTTCAACATTTTCCTTGATTTCCCAGAGAATAATAAAAATCAGACATGTTTAGGGGGCTGGTATTTATGAGCAGTTCCAAATAAAGATCCAGATCTAGTGAATTTAAATGTGGTCTCATAAGGGTACAGTTGGGATATAGGTCTGTGCATTCCTCACTGCATTGGACCTCACACACTAGATTGCTTTTCTCGATGTGCAGACTAGGATGTACCAGTCTCTGTTGTAGTGTGTTGGGTTTGAGAAACGTGCAATGATTGTTGACGCACTTCCTGAGAAGCGGATCCGATGACAATGTGTTTATTCTTCTTTAATCACCACCCACAGTGTGGAGGTCCAGTTGGGCCTGGCCACAAGCTTTAAGTTCATCCCTCTGGTGTTTGTGCTCCTCTTGCTGGCACATCATCACCTCGGTGTCGCAGGGTTCTGATAACTCCTTGATTGTGTTCACCACCGACTAGATGGATGGCCCTCGATTCAACTTTTTTTGGATTATTATTATTAATATTCAACCTCCCAAGGCATCACAAATCAGATATTAAACACGAAAGTGCCCCTAAGATCACAAAGCTCTTCAGAAATGAAAACCAAAGCCAAAGCTTAGCAAAAGAAGATCGTTTCAAATCCATCACATCCAGGCAAATATTTAGACTAATCTCAGAGGTTAAAGCTCACACCATATGGCCCATAAGTTAATGCGTCTGCTCAAATACGACATAGACAGATGTGTAGTGGAGTCACAGAATGTATTTCGACAGATAAGTAACATTATACTTAATGATTATTACATCTTTCACTCTGCATTATTCACTCCTCTCTTGAGGTTTATCAGGAGGCACCTGTCCCACCTCCCCCAGTGTCTCCATGATGTCCGACTGCCACTGTTTTACCTGTTGCACTGCCGTCACTCCCTCCTGGAACACAGTTTATACTGTCAGTATGTTAGCATGGGGTCATACTGTATGTATGTACAGTGATTGTAGTGTAGTGTTGATTATGACTAAATTGCTGGTATGTAATCTGTCAAATTGTCATTAAAACATAAAAACTTGGTTTAAAATATTATTACAAAAATTCATCCCAGCCAGTTTTCATGCTTTATGCTGAGCTAACAAACAGTGTTGACTAACTGTAGCATCATATAATGTGAAGACTCTTCAGAGGAAAAAGTAGAGCTAAACTAGACATACGCAAAAGCAAGATAAACTCACAAGATTCTTTATTTTGGTGTCAGCTCCTGCATCAACGAGCAGTTTCACTATCGTGTATCTGTTGAGACGCACAGCGTCATGCAGGGCTGTGTCTCCTTCCTGAGAGAAGAAAACATTTATTATTGAAGGAATGAAATGATAGAGATGTGGAAAACTGGACAGAAAGACTGCTGAGCTGCTTCCTATACCCTGTCCATGCAGTTGATTTTGGCACCACAGGACAGCAGGTACTCCACAATGGTGCTGTGGCCTGTTCTCGTGGCCACATGCAGAGGAGTGCTGTTCAGCTGCAGTGTGGCAGTGATAACACAGTGACTGTTATTTGTATGCAAATCCACACGCAAACACACAACTGCATTTCAGTAAATGTTCACAGACACAAGTATTTGTCCCAGTAATAATTAGATGCACGTTCACCTTATCTCTAACATTCAGGTCAGCACTGTTACTCTTCAGGATTTCCACGACTTCCAGGCTTCCCCCTCTGCAGGCCCAGTGTATGGCCCCTGAGCCCAGCTGAAATACAGCAGCAGTGCCCCTTCCTGTTAGTTGTACTCACTTTAGGCAACTGGAAGAATCTAATCTTCATCTCATCATCATCTTTACAAAGAAGCAACCTGCACGTCTTACCTGATCTTTGAAGTTGATGTCAGCTCCTCTTTCTAAAAGACTGTGGACGACTGTGGCATGTCCTTCCAGAGCGGCACGATGTAGCCCTGTCCTCTTCAACTGGAAAATTTAAATTCACTGTAGTAGATGTTATTTATTGTGTTATGCTGCAGTTATCTGTGCTTGAAACATACCTCATCGTGGACATTAGGATCCCCACCATCTGCCAGATACTTGTCTATCACATTCAGTTTGCCAAGAGTGGCTGCATTCATGAATTCTGCAATATCAACGTGTCCTATCTGTCAATACAGAAACACACACACGCACACGCACACACACACACACACACACACACACACACACACACAGAGAAAGCGAAGAGGCACAGGCGAGAGACAGATCCAATTTTATATCTCTTTGTGCACATGAAGATAAGGTTTCAAAACGGCAGCTCACCATAGGGATTTCCGCAGACAACCTGGGTGAGTCGTTTTTTTTCTTGATCTTCTTTTTCTCTTTGCACAGCTCCCTGACATTTTCCCCTCCACTCAGCTCCAAAATCTCACGGTGTTGGTCTGAGGAAACTCTCCTCACTCGCTCCTCTGCCTAAAAAATGTCCGAAGCAATTATGAAATAAAAAGCAGCATTAGATAAGCTCGGGGAGAGAAGTACTAAAGGAGAGAAGCCAAGTAGGCCAAGGGCTGCTGAGAGTCAGGAATGATGTACTGTGTTAATGTCCAAGTAAATTCATAACATAGTGTAAGCTATTTCAGGTTTTAACAAATGTAATGTTCCAAATAAACTGCCTCTTCTATGCTGTTAATATGTTTTCACATAATTTATCAATGAATGAGTATCTGTACCTTGTATTCATGTTAACTTAATTAATTTGAATAACGTGTATGTGTGTTAATGGCAAAACATGAACAGGAGCCATTGAACCTTGAATTAAAAGTAATTGACAGGTTTCACTGGAGCTCATAAGCTAAATTACTTCAGTGTAAACAACAAAACAACAAACAAAGCTACAATACTACAACTACTAGTGCTACAAAACACACTGGTCTTTGGTTTGCATTTATTTTCTAGTATATCTACAAATGGATTTTATTGTTTTCTTGGACATACCGACTGAGTGATGCACGTCCCTTCGAATAAAGCACCTGTGATGTGTTAACAGTTTAGTATTATTCAACCTGCTATGCCTAATACAATCTCCCTGGTGGTGAGTGATTAATGGTTATCACCATAGAAGCCATACTTAATGTAAGACACTATAAATAGAAAAACCATTACATTTAACCTACCTGAGTTTTCGTCTCTCCTTCTGATTTATGGTCCATCACACCGAATGCTCACTGCTCAACCTCTTCCATTTCTCTTTAGTTAATAAAGTAATTTCAGACAGCTAAAATCTTCCAAACATTAACAACTGTTTTAGAGGATAATAAAAGAAGAGCAGCGGCAGATGAAAAACTCTGCTCTGCTGCTCCGGTGGCTTCCTGGTAGGAATGCAGGGTTCATGGTGGGACATTGTGTCACCCCAACAAACAGGTGTGTGTGCACTGTGGTGTGTGGAAGCATGTACTGTATTTGTGAGTTCCTGCCAGCTCCACTCCCTCTCTCTTCCCCTCTTTGTTATGCGCGCGCGCACACACACACACACWCACTCACTCACTCACACACACACACACACACACACACACACACACACACACACACACACACACACACACACACACAACTACCCCTAACCTTCAGGCATGAAGCCCAGGTCACAAGCTGAGGGAACTTGTCCCACGTTGTTACACACTTTTTTACACAAGCAAACACACTGTTTGGGGAGGTTATGTTATTTATAGAGGTTTCATTATCGTCAAGTGATACCTTGTAAATATCTGTTTGACCAGCACAACAAAAACCAATCACTGTGCATCAAGCATTTATGTTGTATATCCAGTCTTTCTTTTTTCACATTACTTGTCTTTTCTGGACACTTCCCTTTTAATTTCCTTTTAGATGGACAGTTGGTCACACACTTATTTACAGGCATTCCTGCCATGGGGTTACGTGTTAATGGTTAACCATGTGTTATTAAAGGGAAGTGGCAAAGTTCAGTGGGGCAGGACTCTGCAGCAGCCATTTTAGCTCCACGGGAGATGCGTCTTGCTGCTTTCCCATCAGTCATGGAGCAGAGGAAAACAGATGGTTAAGTCTCAGTCTATGTCTCTACCAGGCTGCGTTTAAGTTATATTGTTATATTGCTCAAAATAATGTATCTCTTGATGCATTAGTGTGTAGAAACCATTTGAATAGACAGTGTTTATTGACATTTACAGATAACATGCTTGTAACTGAGCGCCACAAACACTTTTATGATACCTTTACTACTGGGATAAGCTAGATTAGTTCGTTAATATGTCATAAAATGATTTAGATTAAAATCTACTCCGTGAATTCAATAATGTGTGTGTTTTGCTGGTGCAGGTGCAGGCACCATGGTGATGCTGGATCACTTGAGTGTAGAAGACACAAATGACGACTCCCTGCTGTTGCCTGAGGCTGCAACACCAACACCTGTCTGTCACAGGCAGCGCATGCTCACACATACTGACTCCAGTGATATTTTCCAAACCAGGTACAATCTTTTGCAGGAACTCATTGACTTATTTTATTTGTGAACTTGTTATATAATGCTATGGTGTTTTTTTCCCCTCTGCTGTCCAGGGGTGAGAACCTTGCCTTCAGTCTGGTGCTGTTGATTGGATGCTACTCAGCCGTTCTGATTCCTGCCTATTTCCCCACGAATCAGGTGGCAACACTGGGCAATGACTTCCATCATCCTAAAGATCTGGTATGGATACACATCTTAGCAGTCACATGTGGAATGGATACTTGAGACTGGGATCGAACCGCTGACACTCTGATTAGTGGACAACCCTCTATCTCCTGAGCCACAGCTACCCTACTTTTGATCCATTCTTCTTCACCATTACCAAACTTCTCTCTGTTTTCCCCTTTCTTCAGGTCTTACTAAACCACTCAGCCTCACTGCTGTCAGGCCCCTGTCAGCCTCACTGGTGTCTGAACCACCTCAAGTCTCTGTCCTGCTCTGCGGGCCTCGTGGACATCCCTGTGTTTGTGGAGCAGGATGGACCCGTGCCCTGGGATCTGTCCCCTCCTCTGGGGCTTCAGGGCAGCGAGGAGCCTCTGGCCCTGGCTCTTGCGTCTCTGCCTGAGCATAACCTGCCTCCATCACTGAGGAGAGAGGGCAGCTGCAGGCGATGTATGGTGGTGGGCAATGGAGGGGTTCTTCATGGGAGCCATCTTGGATCTCATATAGATCAGTATGACATCATTATCAGGTATGCTTGCCAGTGTCAGACACACAGAAGTTGAAGTAGAGCTAGAAGAAATTAGAAAAACTAAATTTTCATCCCCGTACTAGGTTGAATAATGCTCCAGTGCCTGGCTTTGAGAGAGATGCTGGTTCCCGCACCACCATCCGCCTGATTTACCCAGAGGGAGCGCCTCACTTTGCAAAAGAGTACAAAAAGACCTCCATGGTTGCCCTGGTGGTCTTCAAGAGCCTGGACCTGGACTGGCTCACTTCTGTCATCACCAAACAGCCTCTGGTAAAGCCTGCATCACATGAACCATTGCATGCAGAAATGCCACATTGCATAAGCAGTCAGCGGCACAGCGACACTGCTGTCACATCGTCACACTCACATGCTCAACATCTGCCATGTTGTTGTTTTTTAAAATAGAGCTTCTGGTCCAAAATGTGGTTCTGGAGAGAGGTGGTGGATGATATCCCTCTAAAACCAGAGAACTTCAGGATCCTGCATCCAGAGATTATTCGCAAGACGGGACAAGTGTTACAGAAATATGCAGTGAAACAGGGAAAAGTGGGTTCCAACGCAATGTGCTTGTTCTATATTCAACTCCCTTTTGGCAAGTTGTGATACACACTCACCCTCTGCTCATGCTTCATGCTGTGCTATCATACAACACTACATGCAAACAGCAAAAAAGGCATAGAAGAACAATGGCTCGCCTGTGAAGGCTAACCTTCAGTTCTAGAGGCTAATGTTCATTTCAGTTCATTGTATTACCTCTGCCATGGTGGTTTTGTTTTCATCTGCATTTGTTTGTGGATTACACAAAAACCACTCGATCAATTTCCATTCAATTTTTAGGAGGGGTGGGACATGACTCAAGGAAGAGCCGAATAAATATTAGTATGGATCCAGACCAGGGGGCGGATCGATGACTCAAATATTCACTGATTTCTCAGAGAATAATTCATGCATCGTGATTGATTAAAAACAAGCTGACATTTTTAGAGACTAATGAGTGTGTGCAAGTTGGTGCAGATCCAAATAAAATCTGGATCTAGTCTAGTGGATTTAAATGTGGTTTCATTTCTTGATGTGGACCTGGGGGCAGATCCAGATTTTTGAAGCACTTTCACAAATTTCCCAGGAAACAATAAATAGTTTCTGATGAAAGCACTCAGGTATGTTAAGTTGACTGATATCTATAAGTGTGGGCCATTTAGTGCTGCTCGGTTGAATTTAAGTGGACAGCTGGGCCTTGGCAGACGTATTATCCTAGTTATCTGTGCAGCTCTGGGGGATATTTCTTATAAATCTGAAATATTAATGAAAATCTGGTTCTAGATATCATTGAGTGTTTTTCCTCTTCTCTAGTAGATGGTGCCGACACTTGGTGCCAGTGCAGTGGTGTTGGCTTTGCAGCTGTGTGACCAGGTGAGCCTGGCAGGGTTTGGCTATGACCTGCAGCACCCGGAGGCCAGGCTTCACTACTACGAGACAATACGCATGGATGCGATGAAGGCTCAAGTAAGTGGCTCACATTTTCCTCTCACGCTCCAACAGATTTATTTATAACTTATTTTCATTATCCTCATCATCATCATCCAGGTGGTGCATGACGTCAGTGCTGAGAAACTCTTCTTGAGGGACCTGGTGGCTGCGCGAGCTGTGACCGACCTCACAGGCGCATTGGGAGCCAGCAGCATAGAGAGCAATCATATAGTGAACTCCACGTGTACTCCTCCCTCTCGCTGTGAGCATGTATAGCGTCCTCCATAAGAGGCTCACACAGCATGGACTGACCTTTAAAGAGCCCACAGTGATGCCTCATGAATCAACGATAGTGGAGACAAAAATAAGTATATCTTATTTAAAAATCCATGAACTTTACATTACCAACTGTGACAAGTGTAGTTATTATCATATAGGTAAGTACTGTGTGATCACACATCAGGAAAAAGCTCAGAAAATGACTGAATCTTTTTTAAATCACTGCAATCATCAATGTTCCACACTGTGCTGTTTACAATGACTCAATAAAAAAGAATAAGAAACTACTGACATTTATTGTTTCCATGTAGAAGAATCTTTGTATTAATCCGTATTATACATAAATACTACTGCATGTTCATTTATACAACTTACTAAACAGAAGTAGGGAAGACTGGAGAGTTTTGGCCTTTATACAAATCCTTCAGTGGCAAATTTTAGAAAAAAACACATCTACAGTAGTAAAGCAGGTCAATCTACAAACATTGAAGGAGTGATATTATCAATATAATTAATACAAGATACAAAATAGTGCACAACTGTGTTTGCTGATAATAAATGTAAGTGCATGAAATAAATTATTTTACGTCCTTATAACCTTATACAGATATAGAACGCAGTAAAAATAGAGAGTGACAGTATTTGTTTTGTCCTTGGCAGTAGTAACGCAGTGACGTGTACCTCAGCTACTGTGACTTAAGTGTGTGTGTGTGTGTGTGTGTGTCTACAGTAAGGGATTGCGCGAAGGCTCCCAAAGTTTGCTCGCCAGCTGTCGGCAGTGCTGGAGGATGATCTCGGTGGGGATGACCCCCAGGTGAACCGTCAGCAGCTCGTAGCACCTCACCACCTCACCCTGGTGATTCTTGCTGTAGTACCGCAGCAGCTTCCTGCTGGACACAACACGTCCTATAGTCATCGGCACTCTGGTTTGAATCAGTCACATCCATTTCTGCCACAATGCTGTTGCTTACCTGTAGTAGTCCCAGGCCAGCATCCCGATTGGGGCAGAGTCATCAGGTAGGATGGGTATGTCCCCGGCCTCTAACTTGTAGCCCTGTTTGACCGGATATACACATTAAATATATTCCGTATTTTTATTATTTTTACAGTATATCAAGATACTAAAAAATGTGTTAGTTTTATTACTGGAAACAAATATAGGCCAAAAATTTACCGTTTCATTTTCAAACCAGAGGAAGTAGCAGAAGTAGAAGTCTCCATCACGCAACGTGACAGTGGAGTAACCCTTCCGGAGAAAGCGGCGCGTCGTGCTGACCAGGTTCCAAACCTTCAGGAGACATCAGTCCAGAGAAATTTATTTGAGTTAGATTAATTTAATGTAGGGAGAATTTTACATTAAAAACATAAGTTTAAAACAGTTAGAACAAGAATGGCCCACAGCAGAGGCCAAGGCTCAACAGTCCACTTATGAAACTACATTTAAATTCACCCTATCCAGATTTTCATTTGGATGTGCACCAAATTAAAACACACTAAATAAATCAACTGGTCCATTTAACGTGTTGGATTTTTTTGATCAAAATCCATGAATTATTCTCTGAGAAATCAAAGAAAATGTTGAATAATGCCTCACAATGAAAAAAATATCCTGGATTAATTCATTCATCCACTTCAAAATTTCAAAGCTTCTTCCTTGCCTCCACATAATTTCATGGACACCAACAGAGTAGTTTCTGTGTAATCCTGCTGACAAACAACCTCCTTGGTGGAGGCAAATATGCTGATTCTACATCTACTGACAGTACTGGCTCAGCACAGAGACTGGAAGTGTTCACAGGTTCTGCTGTGCTCTTTATCAGCCAAAATGCAATTTAACCCTAATTAGCTCTACTCTAATTAAAAACGTGCACTTCAAATATGCTTGACCTTGTTTTTAATGAACTGAGCCACTGGCCCCTTCCCCAGCTCAGACGTGGTGCGTTCTGTGATGCTGAGTGACGGTGCGATCATTTGGCCGTTGGATCGGTCCACGCAGATGAAATGGATGAGGCCTGGGAAATCCTCCAGATATGTGAGATGAACTGGGTCAAGATCAATACACTCAGGATAAAAGGGTGTTATATAAAAAAAAAACCTTTACCTTCTATAGAAGGTAAAAAGA